TTTACGCTTTTTAGAACACTGCTAAACTCTTCTATACAATTTTATAATGTGAGAAAATAGATTACTAGAATTATAGGATCCATTGTAATTTTCTCTCTTCTCCATTATTCTTGAGTCAATAAAATCTCTTAATTCCTTACCATATTCTTGTCTTCTTTAGTCTTTTGCTTGATCAAATACTTCATTATTATTTGTCATATAAGTTCAACATCTCAATCCGATGGTTTGTTCCACAATAATTGGTATCAGAGCTATTCTAGTATCTTGATTATTTCCGCAAGAGCGTAATGTTTGATTTGTTCGAGGTTTTTTATTCGTGACGGCTTCCATGAAGTATGACTTTCTGCATTTGGATCGGAGTACTAGGTTTTCGCTATGACAGGTTAAGATACGTGCAGTACTTGCACAACTAGATTTTGATGATGTGTTGCTGGGAATTTACAACATGCCCGCAACTTTGACCGCGAAAGAGAAATTACGGAAGGATAATAAAGCAGTTTCTCACATTCATCTTCATCTATCAATGAGGTTGGAGCAATTGTGTATGACTAAAAGTCTGACAAGCAAGTTGAACCTCAAGCAACGTTTATACTCTCATCGAATGGCAGAAGGAAGATCATTGGAAGATCACCTGACTGTATTTAAGGAGATCGTCGCTGATTTGGAAACTTTGGAATTAGAGTATGATGAATAAGATTTGGCATTGATCCTATTATGTTCGTTGCCCGCTTCATTTTCNTACTCTCATCGAATGGCAGAAAGAAGATCATTGAAAGATCACCTGGCTGTATTTAAAGAGATCGTCGCTGATTTGGAAACTTTGGAAGTAGAGTATGATGAAGAAGATTTGGCCTTGATCCTATTGTATTTGTTGCCCACTTCATTTTCTTCATTTAGAGACACGATTTTGTATAGTCGTGATACTCTCACCATAGAGGAAGTGTATGCTACTTTGTATTCAAAAGAGAAGATGAAACATTTGGGTTTTAAGGCCAGAGATGGAGAAGGTCTGGTTGCTTATGGTAGTTCTGGAAGGGGCAGATCAAAATCTAAGTTCAGTAATCAAATTTGTAACTACTGCAAGAAGAAGGAGAACTTAAAAAAGGATTGCTACAAATTGCAGAATAAAGAAAGGATGACTGCAAGTAGATATTCGGATACTTCAGGTGAAGCAGACCTCGTAGAGAACGTTGTAAGTGATGGAGA